AAGAAATTCATTTTTTAAATAGACCAATAAAAAGGTCTGTAATTGAATCAGTAATAAATAGCTTACCAACCAAAAAAATCCCAGAACCAGATGGATTCACAGCCAAATTCTACCAAATATACAAAGAAGAGCTGGTAGCATTCTTACAGAAACTATTCCAAAGAAAATTGAGAAGCGAGGACTCTTCCTCAACCCATTCTATAAGGCCAGCATCATCCTGACATCAAAACCTGGCCAAGAGACAACAAAAAATAAAACTTCAGATCAATATCCTTGATGAACATTGATGCAAAAATCCGCGACAAAATACTTGCAAACTGAATCCAGCAGCGATCAAAAGCAAATCCATCACAATCAAGTAGGCATCATCTCTGGGATGCAAGGTTTGTTCAACAGACACAAATCAGTAAATGTGATTTATCACACAAACAGAAATAAAGACAAAAACCACAAATTATCTCAATAGACACAGAAATGGCTTTCAATAAAATTCAACACTATTTTATGTTAAAAACTCTCAATAAACTAGGTATTGAAGGAATAGACCTCAAAATAAGAACCATCTCTGGCAAACCCACAGTCAACATTATACGGAATGGGCAAAAGCTGGAAGCATTTCCCTTGAAAACCAGTATAAGACAAGGATGTCCTCTCTCACCATTCCTATTCAACATAGGAAGTCCTAGCCAGAACCATCAGGCAAGACAAAAAAATAGAGCATCCAAGTAGGAAGAGAGGAAGGCAACCTATTGCTATTTGCAGACAACATGATTACATATCTAAGAAATCCCCAGCCTCTGCCCAAAAGCTCCTTCAGCTAATGCACAATTTCAGCAAAGTTGCAGAATATAAAACAATGTACAAAAATTACTAGCATTCCTGTACACCAATAACAGCCATGCTGAGAGCCAAATCAGAATGGCAATCCCATTCACAATTGCAACAAAAAGAATAAAATAGCTAGGAATACAGCTAACCAGGGAGGTGAAAGATCTCTGCAATGAGAAATACAAAGCCCTGCTCAAAGAAATCAGACAAGACACAAACAAATGGAAAAACATTTCATGCTCATGGATAGTAAGAAAAATGTCAGTAAAATGGCCATACTGCCCAAAGCAATTTACAAATTCAATATTATTCTTATCAAACTACCAACACACCATTTTTCACAAAACTAGAACAATTAAAAAATTTATATGGAGCCAAAAAAGAGCCTGAATAGCCAAAGGAGTCCTAAACAAAAAGAACAAAGCTGGAGGCATCACATTACCTGAATTCAAACTATACTACAGGGTTACAGTAACCAAAACAGCATACTAACACAAAAATAAGCACAGAGACCAATGAAACGGAATAGAGAGCCCAGAAATAAAGCTACACATCTACGACTATCTGATCTTTGACAAAGCTAACAAAAACAAACAATGGGGAAAAGACTATCTCTATTCAATAAATGGTGCTGGGATAACTGGCTAGCGATTTGCAAAAGACTGAAGCTGGACCCCTTTCTTACACTGTATACAAAAATCGACTGAAGATGGATTAAAGACTTAAATGTAAAACCCAACTGTAAAAACTCTGGAAGACAGTCTAAGCAATACTATCCTGGAATAGGAATGGACAAAGATTTCTTGACAAAGATACCAAAAGCAATCTCAACGAAAGCAAAAATTGGCAAACAGGATCTAATTAAATTTATGAGCTTCTGCACAGCACATGAACCTATCGAGAGTAAATAGACGTCCTTCAGAATGGGAGAAAACTTTTGTAAACTATGCATCTGACAAAGGTCTGATATCCAACATTTATAAAGAACTTAAATCTCCAAGAGAAAAACAACCCGATTGAGAACCGGGCAAAGAACATGAAGAGATACTTTTCAAAAGAAGACATAGTTTGCGGCCAAGAAGCATATGAAGAAAACCTCAGTGGTCATCTTTGCTGTCAAACTTATGAGCATAGAGCTGTTTGTAGTATTCCATAATTATCCTTTTAATGTGAAGTCAGTATTGATTGCTCCTGTCTTATTCTTGATATTTATAATTTGTGTCTTCTTTTTGTTCTTAGCCTGCCTAGATGTTTATCAATCTTATCGCTCTTTTTAAAGAACTAGTTTGTTTTCACAGATTTTTCTCTATTGTTTCAATTTCATTGATTTTTTTTTTTTCCAGTACCCTCAGGTGACAGGTTTTTGCATTTGTTCTTGTCCCTGCAGATTACAGCTTTTGTTCTGTAGAAAAAAATACAGAAAATGGTCTGGAAGGCATTTTGGCTTACTGCTGCCTTTCCCTTCCCTCTTCCCCCAAATACTAGTGCTATGTTATTATTATAATAGCACTATTTCGGAAGCATTCTCGGAATTCTTTCTGGTTTTCCTTGCGAGCATCTGGTAGTTTATGAAGAGAAAACAAGAAGGTATAAACCCTCTTATGTCTCTGGTCCTCAGGGACTTTTCACTCTTATGATAGCCTACACTTAGTATTTAGCAATTCATTAAACATTTTTTTTATCGAAGTCTTCCTTTTTTTTTTTTTTTTTTGAGACAGTCTCACTCTGTCACCCAGGCTGGAGTACAGTGGTGTGATCTCTGCTTGCTTCAACTTCTGCCTCTACCTCTGGGGTTCAAGTGATTCTCCTGCCTCAGCCTCATGCATAGCTGGAATTACAGGTGTGTGCCACCACAACAGCTAACTTGTACTTCCAGTAGAGATGGGGTTTTGCCATGTTGGCCCAGCTGGTCTTGAACTCCTGACATCAAGTGATCCACCTGCCTCGACCTCCCAAAGTGCTGGGATTACAGGTATGAGTCACCGTACCCAGCCTATCTGAGTCTTTTATCAGTTCACATGGCGTCTACTGGCTTCAGTCCTAAGGGGGAGCGAGTGCACAGGTCCTTATAGTTGCTTCTCTTTCCCCAGGTTTCGGTTTAGTTGTTTGTCTTGCAACCCCAATTTCCTAATAGGTTCAAGAAAAGTCATTAATTAGCAATTTTTTTCTCTTTTCGTTGTTATAGTAAAAGCAACACACTTTCCAGCTGTCTATATGTCTAAGCTGAAATTCGAAATCTATACAACCGCTTTTGAAAACTCATTTCTAATAAAATTAAACAACAATTCCACCCTGGGCATATTTTTAAAATAAGAGTACATAGTTCATTTTTAAAAAGTGTATGAGAATTCACAATAGCTCAAATGGAATAGATAAATTTTGGTACCTCATACAGTAATTTCCCTCATATATAGTTATTTTCAAAAATACAAATTACTGATACATGTAATAATATTGATAAATCTAAAAAAATTTGTTGAGTAAAAGAAGCTAACACAAAAGAATACATACTGTATGTTTCTTTTAAATGAAGTTTAATAATAGGCAAAACTAGTGGTGATCAAGTAAAAATAGAGGTTACTTCTGGGGGTTGAAGGTGGTTATTATGTGGAAAGGAGCATAGAGGAATTTGGGGGCATGATGTAAATATTTCCTATTTTGATTTTGGTAGTTTACACATGTAATATTTTATCAACCCATATAGTGAAGATTTTTGCATTTTACTCAATGTGAATTATAATTTGATTTATACAAATAAGGAAAGAGAAAAAAGTAAGAGGCATTTTTCTTTTTTTGTGGAAGTTTCTACTTTTTATTTTTTATGGGACTGTGACACAGGTACACATATGCTACGGTGGTTTGCTGAATAACAGGCATTTTTCAATGCAATTTTCATATCAGGATTGGTCAAAACCAGACCTAAATGTTTTTTAGGTTACTAAGACAAGTATTTTTCTACTTTTCATCTTTCTGCTTCTTGTTTACCGTAATTATTGCTCAGTACATAGCATCTTTTGCAAATTATATCACCTCATTTCATGACAACGATCTGTTTGGAAGAGTAAATGTGATTGGTGGGCACGTGGGGCCTCGACCCCAGATACAAAGCCATGTTCACAAGGGATGTATGTGTGTTTGTGTGAGTGTGTGTGTGTACTTTATTGTAAGAGGCCATGTCTGACAACATTGTCCCGTAACTAACAGGATAGCAGGTTGGTATCCCAGGCAACTTTGTTGTCAGAAATCACAAGTAAAATAGTGTGGACCTGCTCAGCCAAGGCCAAACAAGCTTAGAGGATTTATATTGGCCAAATCACTACAAGAAAAAGATCCTTGAGGTCTCTGGAACACCAGTGAACTTACCTGAGAGCTTCATTACTACTAGAGGAGGAAAGGTTGCCAGATTCTGAGTTCTGGAAGCCCCTTACCCTACAGCTGCATTGTCTGTTCCCAGGGATTCCTACCAGGTTGCAAGAAGCTAGTGGGACAATCCTAGCTAGTTGCTGCCAAGCTCTAGAAGATTCATTTCGAGGAGCCTGGTGATTTGTACTTTAAACACAACCTCATTAGCTACTCAAGAGAAGGTGGCAGGGCATTGGCTGCTCTGGGGCACAGAACTTGGCTGTGTGAAGCTGTAGCAGGCCTACCTTTTTGGTTAAGGTCCTTGGGGACAAAAATAACTGAGTCCTCTTGCAATAGGGACCTTAGCAAATATTCTCCTTCCCTCACGGCCAGCAGAGAGCCCAGAGGTCTGCCTGGAAGCCAGGCTTTGGTGTAAGAATGGGCAAGAAGAGCAGCCGAGTCTACCTATTTTTGATAGTCCCTGTACCTCAGGTTAAAACACCATGCTTTGGTCCGAAAGAGTAGTTTGAGTGCTAAAAACAGATGAAAATGAAACCGTCTATACCTGAAGATGTTTCGGAGCTTGGAGAAAATCCCTGAAGCTCTAGTTCACAGAGAGGAAGCCATGTTTGAAGTACTTTAAAGTCCGTGGGTGGTGAGGATGTGTGAGGACGTGGAATCAGTTTTGGGAGGGCTGGTAGGCTGGCTAGATGTTGGGATCATTGATTAAAGCAGGAAATGCCTGAGGTAGAGAAGGTCTGGGGAAGGAGACACCGCATTAGATTTGAATGACGTGGAATGTTAGGTAACTGTGTGATCTCCAGGCAGAAATTCCCACTAGGCAGTTCACAGTACAGAATTTGTCCTCAGGAGACAGGCTACAACTGCAGCTATGGATTTGGGAGTCATCCAGAAGAGCTGTACATGAATTCCATCAGGGAGAATAGATACAGCGAGTGGAGAGGAGGGCTAAGGTAGGAATCTCGTGCTCCTCAATGTTTACAGAAAATGTGGTGAAGAGGTATCCAGGAAAGATTTGAAAATACCACCTTATCTAGGTCAGCTGTAGGCATTCTAATTCCCTAAATAATAAGCATGCCCATTATTAGCCCCTTATTAGCAATGATTTATAGTAAAGCAGCATTAGAACTGAGCTAGGAATCTGCATGTACTCCTAGAAATTTCTTCTGTTATGTGTGTATTTTACTCTGTTTTCTCTGTTAACTGTACAAACTTTGAGTCATTTGAAAATTAGCTACATGTATTTTTTTAACTCCTCGTATCAAAAAGGTAGATATGAAAATCTCTTTTGTAGGTGGATGTTTAGATGTATTCACAGGAAGAAATAAAATTCCTCATGGAAGGTGGTTCCGTAAGAGTTTACTTTGGGAAACGGATCCAAACTCCACCCAGTCTATGGATATCTAAATTAGAAAGCTGAATATGAATTTTCAGTGATTTTCTACAATATGGTTTCTGAGGTTGTGTTGTACTGGCCCGAGCATAGAACGTCAACACCAAGACAAAAGTATGCCAAATTGCAGGGTCTTTATTTCCGGCGGCCACAGAGGACTCACGTCTCTCTCTCCAACCCATTGTCCTGAAAGGAGGGTGTCAAGACCTTTTATACCCGTAAAACCATCTCCGGAGTGAGGGTGAGGGGCAGGGGTGGGGGTGAGGGGCTTCAGAGGTTCTGAGGGCTAGTGGATTCTGTAAATCACCTCCTGGGCAGAGATGAGGGTGTGGGGCTCTGGACATTCCAGTGGATTCCTGGGCGAAGAGGAGGGTGAGGGGCTCCGGACTCTCCAAGGGCCAGGGGACTTTTGACATTCTGATTGTTACTTAAGTGTTTCACAAAAGTCAAGATTAGCATTTGTTTACACATTGTCTGGGTAGGGTGGGAATCACAGACCTTAGTTACGTATTACAAGTCGCAGGGCCAAGATGGTGTGGGTTTGGACTGCTTGCCTGTCACATTAGGGTTACAGAGAGCAGTTTCAAGAGGAAGCCGAGGTGTGGCTGAGGTGTGCAGTTTTATGGGGCTTTTACCATGTCACACTTGCACACAATACTTATTATAAAGGTCCTGAAATGTGACTTCATATTAGTTGAAATCAGTTCCTGAGGAAGATATTCACGGGGCATTAAAAAAATCTCTTTCTGTATGTCTCTATTTAGCTTTTTTCCTTACGCTGACTGGCTAATCTAATTTCTTGTGGGCCGGGGGATAAGATGGGATAAGTAGTAATGTGAATCTATTTTTTTGAATTCCTCTTTTTTTGAGACAGGGTTTTGCTCTGTTGACTCTGTTGCCCAGGCTGTAGTGCAGTGGTGCAAGCTCGGCTGTCTGCAGTTTCAGCAGATAGATAGATTTCATAGAAAAAAATAATTTTCTATGGTGAATTTTTTTAGACTAGTTAGTACCAAAAAACTGGTTTAAAAAAAAAAAATCTTACTTAGGCTGGGCGTGGTGGCTCATGCCCGTAATCTCAGCACTTTGGGAGGCCGAGGCAGGCAGATCATGAGGTCAGGAGTTCAAGGCCAGCCCAGACAACATGGTAAAACCCTATCTCTACTAAAAATACAAAAATTATCTGTGGCGTGGTGGTGCCTGCCTGTAATCCTAGCTACTTAGGAGGCTGAGGCAGGAGAATTGCTTGAACCTGGGAGGCGGAGGTTGCAGTGAGCCAAGATTGTGCCATTGCACTCCAGCCTGAGTGACACAGCAAGTCTGTCTCAGAAAAAAAAAAAAAAAAACTTGCTTAATATAGTTTCAAAGTGTGTTTTTCTTTAACGATCAAATTGATTTTAGTATAACGCATCCAATCAAACCCCAACGAGTTACTTTGAAAAGATGCAACATTTTTACATATCTGAATTCAAACAGTATTTTTCAAACTGAGTAATGGGTAGGAACAAACATTAGATAATAATAGCTAACACTAATTAAATCTCTATTATGTGCTAACTTTTTGCATGTATTACATCTAAGCTTTTTACGTGTATTAACTTATTTGATTCATACAATAACCTATAAGACAACCTACCACCTCCATTTTGCAGATTCATAAACTAGGGTACAGAGCGTTTAAGTCATATAGTAATTATTAATAGTGATACCTGGTAATATCTTATATTTGCAAACTGCTCTGTGGTCTTGAAAGCCCATGCATTTTTGTCTTTGATTCTGAGAATGCAAAGCATGTGATTAATATGCCCGTAGAGCTTTCATTAAAAATTCTAAATCTCAAGGACTTCAGGAGCTTAAAGTATTTCAATTTCAATAGAGAGTTGGTACTGAAGTTAAGCATAAATAATTTTTAAATCTAAATATAAACTGTGGAAAATAAACAAGCCTAGGGGTCTTAAAAGAGGATTTTTATTTTTTTATTTTTTGCTTTGGCAATAAATGAAATCTTTTGTTGACTAACCTTAAGGGGTTTATTTCCTCAAAAGAAACAAAATGGGCATAAACGAAACGAGAGTAACGGATGTGATTGTAAAAATCCTTACAGCACATCAGGGAAACATCTCCTTACATTTAACTTCAGTAACACGAAGCAATGATTAACATTTTTGAATCTAATTTTCATGTTGCTGGTAAATTGCTGATCTACTTAAACCACACGCACACACACACACACACACAATAGTGGAACACAGGACAATTTCTCTAAAAGAAAACCCAAATTATTTCAGGTGCCTGTGGCGATGCTAATTTATTGCCATTTATATATGAGTTATTTTCACCTGGCCTAGATTTCTATTTGCATGCTTCCCTATACCATGAGTGCCTAGAACCAGATGGGCTATTCAGAGGTCATCATGCAGGCCCGCGCGTTCCCAAACTTGAATGTGCATGTAATTAACCTGCAGTTCCAATGAGTTCTCAGGCAATATCCACACTGTTGACCCAGGGATCACCCTGGAGTGGCAAGTGTAGGCTTTTCCCACCTAAAAGAACTACATGTGCCCCTACAATTAGTAGCTTAAAGTCTTTCCTTAATATGTCAAGAAAAATTCTTCGTTGCATCTCAGAAATGTATTCCGCCATTTAGTATTTCTTGCATTCCTTTATATCCCACCTATGCTGCTAGTGTAAAGAAAAAAAGAAAGACAAATGACTACCTCTTACAACATGTAAGTGCCTCCAACTATAAAATTCTTCAAGCTATGAAATTCCTATTTTCTTTCAGCATTTTCCAATAATCTTTCTTTGATAGTGGCCAGTTTTCAATTCAAAACAATTTAGTTTCTCCATAGGGTCTAATACAGCTCTATAATGTTATTATGAAGAGACCCAAAGGGGAGTAAGACCTAATTCCTGTCTTCAATAAACAAACAATCTCATGGGAAGATAAACTGCTATATGAGGCAGAGAGCTTTGTGACATTGTGTTGACTTTTATAATAATTATTATTATTTTTCTTTACTAATCTTTGGTCAGATAGCCCCTTACTAAACACCTGTAGAAGCAGGACACTCAATACTTGCTTAAAGCACCCAATTCCATCTTTTTTTGTTGTTTAAAATAATTGTAACTTTTATTTTCACTATCTGGGGTGCATGTGCAGATTTGTTACATGGGTCTATTGCAGGATGCTGAGGTTTGAGGTTTGGGTAGTGAGCATAGTACCCAAAAGGTAGTTTTTCAACCTCTGCTGCCATTCCTCCCTCCCACCTATAGTAGTTCACAGTGTCTATGGTTCCATCTTTATGTGCAGGTGTGCTCAAGATTTAGATCCAACTTATAAGTCAGAATGTAAATAGGATCATCCTGAAGTTAGAGTCTGAACCTTTCAATTCTGTATGAAAAAGTAGCCTGGAGTCTCATGTACGAGCATGCATTCAATAAATGTTTGATGAATACAGAGGTGCCATAAAGCAGGTCTGTGGGATTAGAGACACCAAAGTTCTTTAAAGACACAGTACTGGAGTGGACCTTAAAGGATTTAAACAGGCAGAAATATGGGGATAATCATTTGAGGTAAAGAGAGCAGAGGAGCAAAGTCATGGAAGCTGGTGTCCAGAATCAGCTCTTTCCTTCTGAGATGCTCCAGCTTTTGTACCTCTCCCATTTGTCTCAAATCACATATTCTTTAAAAATTATGAAAGGAGTCAGCCTAGAGATTTACTTCTGTTAGAGTATGATTTAGGCTTCTCTTTCATTGTTTCCTAAACAAAGATCCGGACTGGTTGACCTCTGAGGTCCCTTCTCGCTCAACAGCCGATGGTGATGATGAAAAGATGATCTTGTTCTTCTCATCTGTTCAGCACTGGACAGCTGCCTGGAAAATCTTGATTAGCCAAACAAGGTCACCTGAAGGTAAGGCACTGCGTTTTCCTGACCTCTGATACATACGACTAATACCTTCACGATTCCTCTTATTAAATACTTGTTGGGAATGTGCTGTGTGCCAGGCCATCTTCACGGATTATTTCATTTATTCTCAAAACTAAAAAGTGTAAAAACCTCTTATTAACCCCATTTTGCAGATAAGAAAACTGAGACTTTAGGAGTTTATCCTGCTATTCTGAACTCAGAGACTCATTTTTGACTACTGAGCAACCACCCCCTTTCATACCGACATGTGAATATTCGGTTACCTGCTCACAATTCCGCTTTCTTGCTTCATTCCAGGGATTTCTTGGTAATCCACTTGGCATATTGAACTGAAATCTCCACATTCATACTTAATTGAAGTGTGTTTGTTTGGTTAATTGAGTTTAGACTACATAAGCAAGCGCTTTATAATATATAGTGAGTAATGAGATACTACTGCTGGAGCTAATCAAATAGAGGCTGGATTGCTGCATCTCCCGCAAAAAAGATTAACTCATGTCTCAGGTGAAGATCTTTTGAGTGGATTTAACAATCCACTCAATTTTCCAATGAAAAAATATATAGGAATTTTATATATATATATATATATATATATATATATTTTTTTTTTTTTTTTTTTTGAGACAGAGTCTTGCTCTGTCGCCAGGTGCCAGGCTGGAGTGTAATGGCGCAATCTCGGCACACTGCAATCTCTGCCTCCCAGGTTCAAGCAATTCTCCTGCCTCAGTCTCCCGAGAAGCTGGGACTGTGCGCACACACCACCACGCCTAGCTAATCTTTGTATTTTTTAGTAGAGATGGGGTTTTACCAAGTTGGCCAGGATGGTCTTGATCTCTTGACCTCGTGATCTGCCCGCCTCGGCCTCCCAAAGTGCTGGGATTACAGGCGTAAGCCACCGCACCCAGCCCTATATATTTTTTTAAATAAAAAATTTCAAAAGTAGCACATGCTTACTGAAAAATTTCACATAAGTAAAAAATACATAAAATGTAAACGGAATATCTTCCCTTTCAGAAAACACTCTGCTCAGCACCACTGTTCACAGTGTGTTATATTGTATGATTGACCAAATTACAGAAATTGGCTTAACAAGCAATCCCAGCTTTCTTTCCATCCCTACATAGCTCTGTGATTGACAGTAACTATAGCCCCAAATATAATGGTGAATACTGTTTATTAAGTACTTACAAAGTACCAGGAACCACACTGGGTGCTTTGCACATACAGTCTTATCATGCACAACAACTTTATGTAGTAGGTATTTATTAAGATTTGCAAGTAAGGACACTGATGCTTAAAGTTACGTGGCTACTATATTAGCGTGTGGAATTTAACCAGGTCCATCTGACTCTAAAGTCCATACTCTTTCCAATTCTCTGTTCTGCATTCCATAATTCCTTAAATAAAGAGTGAAGGGACAAATAGCAAAAATGCCTACCTCTTTTCAATCTCCTGGGAATCAGTTCAATCAGTAGCAGTGACAAAACAGGGCAAGTCAAAGCAAAAGTTCATGTTAACGCTGATCAGATGAATTTATTGGAATTAAAAGAAGGATGAAATTATTGACTCTTTACTTTCCCACCAATTATATTTGCCCTATCAGCCCCATGATGACAGCATATAGTATTTATTGGACACATATTTCTCAACGTCTCTCTCTGCCTGAAACATGACATAGATTGGCATTTCTTAAACTGTGTTAATTTTGAGAAGAGGGTAACTCTATAGGGGTCTCACAGATAATTGCACTCCTCCCAAGCCTATGCCAGATGTAGCATAAAGCCACTGTCAAATTCGGAGCCTCCTCTCATGAATATGTATGTCAGAGTGGAGAAGGACTGGCCTCCAATGCCCTGTGTATAAAAAGGTGCCTCAGGTCCTTGACCCTGGCATCACAGAGCCTGATACTCCCAGTGGCATCCAAACTCCCTGTTTACTGAAGCTGAACGGGGACCCAAAGCTTGGGGCTCAAAGACTGTTCACAAACAACTCAGTCAGTGGAACAAGAAAGATATAAAATCCAGCAGGTTAGTCAGACCTACAGAGAAAGATTAAGAGACATCTCACCTGACATCTGGAGGACATTTCTGTTCAACCATTCTGGTGCAAACATCTTAGAGACCTGGGGAAAAGAACAGCCTGTTGGGGCATAAATGTGGCACCACGGCCCTGTAAGAGCAATGGTTCCAATGGAGACCACATGGCACGTTCTGCTCAGTTCCCAGCCAGCAAGCAGGAACTCTGCTTCTTACTTTCCCAATCAATCAATAGTCTGTAAGTCAAATGATTGGGAATGCAATTATTTACAAATAACTTTAAATGTGTGTTTCTAATAGAAAGGATTATAGGTAAAATAAATCACTCATAAGCTTCTAGGCTTTATTATACTCAATAAACTGCCTGCAACACATCTTCCCAAACATCAACGTGTTGCCACATAAAGATGAGAACCCCTAGTTAATGAATAAATATGTTTCCAATACATGTTTTGTATAAATTTAATCATATTTCATTAAACAATTATTTTGTCTGTACTTATTGTTATACTGTAATATATCATAGTGGAAATATATCCCTATGCTTTCTCCCAGAAAATTATTCCTTTCTATCCTGCTTGTCAAAAATAGGGTACTAAGACTGCATTTTCTATTATGCCATGAAGAAATTTTTACTTATATTATCTCACTTAAATCACTCAGACATTCCTTAGCTTCTGGAGCAGATAATTTCTAAAGTAAGTTCTATTCTGATTTTATAAGTAGTACTGTAGAAATGTATACACACAGAGATGTTAAAAATATGTCACACCTGTAATCCCAGCACTTTGGGAGGCTGAGGCAGGTGGATCATGAGGTCAAGAGATTGAGACCATCTGGTCAACATGGTGAAACCCCGTCTCTACTAAAATATAAAAAATTGGCTGGGCATAGTGATGCGTGCCTGTAATCCCAGCTACTCGGGAGGCTGAGGCAGGAGAATTGCCTGAACCCAGGAGGCGGAGGTTGCGGTGAGCCGAGATCACGCCATTGCACTCCAGCCTGGGTAACAAGAGTGAAACTCCGTCTCAAAAAAAAAAAAAGTCATTGCATAAATGCTATCAAAACAGTAATAAGAATATGCACAATATACAATATGTTATTAAGGGATAGGTATATCCCGACACTGGGCAGGTTTTCTCAATTTTGATGATAAATAAATAAACTACTTACAGCTGAGTCTCGGTGAAAAGCTTGGATTTCTGGCTTTGGGGGTGGGGCTTATGCTCCTCACACTGCTATGGAAAGAATAATCTGGTACCACTGGCTGTTGACATCCATGCATCATGAGGGAGACCTGCCATTCCAGGAGCTGCCTACACATAATTATTGCCTAATGCAGGAACCAAAAATCCTCTTTGATCACTCTCTGATTCTTTCTTCCAGGATGGCCAGTACAGACGCCTGTGGACTGTGCTTGGGAGTCTCCATCTAATCTCTCTCTAAGTAGATGTTCTGGGATTCCTCCAAGTACAAACACGACTCAAGGGCAACAGCTTGATCAGAAAATGTAGAAATGAAGAGCAATTAGTTCTCTCCTGGATTTAGTAAGGTCGTGAAAATCATCTTTTCCCAGCACTCAATGAGGAGACGAGCTTTCTCTCTCTTTTGGGACATTTGTGAATGGAGTTTGGTACTGGATTTGTTGTCAGGAGTTGTGGTGGCTAAAGCTTTCCTTCTCCTCATTGGTGACTGAAAGGGTGTGCATGGATTTTACAACACATGAGGGAGTCTTCTCTATTTGTTCTGGTGGCCATGGCCATGGGCTTTGCTTGGACCTAGCCTCTCCATGCCACCTGCCCCGCCAGAGTGAGTGTGTCTGGAGCCACAGTACTACAGCATGCTTGATGTCTTAGCTTTAAGGGGCTCCTAGTTAGGGCTGCCCCCTGCATGCAGTGCTTCCTTTCTTTCCCACTGGCACCTCTTAGGCCTTCGTGGCCCCTGATTTTTGGTCCTGCCATTGCTCATGACCTGGTGATGGCACTGCTTGCTGTGGAGTTCTGAAGGGGAAAAAGGCAGAGCCATCAAACATCTATGTAGGGCCCAGATGGGGAGAAGGCGTAAGTCTGAAAATCTTGCAGTATTTTAACTGCACCAAAATTAAGATAAAAACATTACACACTGTTAAGAGTTATGTGTCTAAAGCTCAGAAATCCCCTAACAACATGGGTTTTTCCAGATCTGAAGAAGCCCAAAGATGGTGCCTAGTAAAGGCCTTAGAATCATCAGCGATCCAGGAAATACAAATCAAAACAATGAGACCACTTTCCTCACTAGGATGGCTATCATGAAAAAGACAGATACCAAATGTTGACAAGGATGTGAAGAAATTGGAAGTGTCCATATGATCCAGCAATTCCGCTCCCTGGTACGCACCCTAAAGAAATGAAAATATAAGTCCACTAATAATTTGTACACAAGTGTTCTTATGAACATTATTCATAAAATCCAAAAAGTGGAAACACCAGCTCCCAAAAGGACAGTCCACAGGTGTCTATAAATGGTCCTAAAAGAATGAATTGTGGAGTGATTTTGCATTAGGCATGACTATGCTGTAGGCAGCTCCTGGAATGGAGGTCCCCCTCATAGTGCATGGAGGTCAATAGCCAGTTGTACCAAAGAGTATTCTCTCTGTAGTACTGTGGGGAGCACAAGCCCCACCTCCAAAGCCAGAAATCCAAGCCTTTCAGTGAGACTTCGTGGTAAGTAGTTTATTTATTTACCATAAATAAATAAATATTTATATGCCAGTAGTTTATTTCTCACAATTGAGAAGAACAGTACCCAGTGTCAGGATATATCTACCCCTTAAAAGCATATGAGACCGGGTGCGGTGGCTCATGCCTGTAATCCCAGCACTTCGGGAAGCCAAGGCAGGTGGATCACCTGAGATCTGGAGTTTGAGATCTGACCAACATGGAGAAACACCATCTCTACTAAAAATACAAAATTAGCCTGGTGTGGTGGTGCATGCCTGTATTCCCAGCTACTTGGGAGGCTGAGGAAGGAGAATTGCTTGAATCGAGGAGACAGTGGTGGCAGTGAGCCAAGATCGTGCCATTGCACTCCAGCCTGGGTGACAGAATGAAATTCTATCTCAAAAAAAAAAAAAGCATCTGATAAAATATTTCACATATTTTTATTTGTTCATTAACTGATGAACGGACAAATAAAATTTGGTATACTCATACAATGGAATCCTATTTGGCATGAAAAGGAATGAAGTACTGATAACATGCTGTTGTATGGGTGAAACTTGACAACATTATACTACTTGAAAGAAGCCAGTCTTAAAAAGATAACACATTGTATATTTCCATTTATGGTAAATGCCTAGAATAGGCAAATCCAGGAGACATAAAGTAGATTAACAGTTGCCTAACGGCTGGTCCGAGTGCAGAGTTGTTTACAAAACTGATCACAACCGGTTATATATTTCTTTGTTCCTTCTCCTCTCCCACTGCTCCGCTTGACTCTTCTTAAGAAATATAGGGCCGGGCGCGGTGGCTCACGCCTGTAATCCCAGCACTTTGGGAGGCCGAGGCAGGTGGATCATGAGGTCAAGAGATCGAGACCATCCTAGTCAACATGGTGAAACCCCGTCTCTACTAAAAAGACAAAAAATTAGCTGGGCATGGTGGTGCGTGCCTGTAATCCCAGCTACTCAGGAGGCTGAGGCAGGAGAATTGCTTGAACCCAGGAGGCAGAAGTTGCAGTGAGCTGAGATCGCGCCATTGCACTCCAGCCTGGGTAACAGGAGTGAAACTCCGTCTCAAAAAGAAAAAAGAAATATAGTTGCTGGGGCGGAGGTCACCTTGGCGGCTATCCTGGGTCGGCTTGGTCTGTGTGCTGTCAAGCAGGTTCGAATCCAATTGTGTCCTTTGGAGAAAAACCCGGAACCAACGAGGACCTTCCTCCAGGTGGTGAGCAGCAAGAGGGTCCACTCCACTAATCTCAACTGCTTGGTGATTGAGGACGTGAGGCACGAGGGCTCCGAACCCCACTTGGACCTGCTGTTCGGAGACCTGTATCGCCTGATGTGCACGGCGCCCATCTCACCGCTCTGGAAATGCTCACTGCCTTCGCTGCCCACAACCCAGCCAGGAAGGCATGGGCAGCGGGGACATGCCAGGCACTGTTGCTGGTTGCTGAAGCGCAGAAGAGACCAACAAGATGATTTTAGTATGGACTAGGACACAAGGTAAGAAGAGTTTCACTTAATCATTCAAATAAGTGCAAAATAAGACCCTGCTACCAAAAAAAAAAAAAAAAAAGTAATCAAAACAGCATGGTACTGGTACAAAAACACAGATGTAGACTAATGGAACAGAACAGAGGCCTTGGAGGCAACACCACACATCTACAACCATCCGATCTTTGACAAATCTGACAAAAACCAGCAACGGGGAAAGGAGTCCCTGTTTCATAAATGGTGTTCGAATACATGCCAGCAACATGCAGAAAGCAGAAACTGGACCCCTTCCTGACACCTGACACTAAAATTAACTCCAGATGGATTAAAGACTTAAACATAAGACCTGGTGCCATAAAAACCCTAGAAGAAAACCTAGGCAGTACCATGCAGGACATAGGCCTAGGCAAGGACTTCATGACTTAAACACCAAAAGCAATGGCAATAAAAGCCAAAATAGACAAATGAGATCTAATTGAACTCCACAGCTTCTGCACAGCCAAAGAAACAATCATTAGAGTGAATTGGCAACCAAAACAGGATGGGAAAAAAATTTTGCAATCTACCCATCTGACAAAGGGCTAATGTCCAGAATCTACCAAGAATTAAAACATTTACAAGAAAAAGACAAACAAATCCATTCAAAAGTGGGCAAAGGATATGAACAGACACTTTTCGAAAGAAGGGATGTATGAGGTCAACGACCGTATGAAAAAGTGCTCATCATCACTGGTCATTAGAGAAATGCAAATCAAAACTACGTTGAGTTACCATCTCACACCAGTTAGAATGGCAATCATTAAAAAATCTGGAGACAACAGATGCTGGAGAGGATGTGGAGAAATAGGAACTCTTTTATATAGGTGACAGGGGGATGGAGGCAGCAAACCACATTGCCATGTATGTATTTATGTAACAATCCTGCATGTTCTTCAAATGTACCCCAGAACCTAAAGTGCAATAAAATATATATACTTTTTTAAAAAAAGAAAACCAGAAAGTTGATGATATTATTAATAGGAATTTTTATATAGAATTTGAATAAATTTGGAGGAAAATCATGAAATCCTACTGAAAGATATTGAATTTGAGATTCTTAAGGATATTTAGGTGGTGAGGTAGAGTTAACATGACTGTAACCCTAAGGCAGCAAAAGGATTGGCAAAGGTAACACTGATGGTTTAGACTTTCTAAACCTTTAGAGTTATTGACATAAAAAACTAACCTAATGTGCCTTCTACTTCTTATTTGTCAGAATTGAGCTTCAGCTAGCTGAACATATCTGGTATGAGTAAATCAATGTGACCAGGGTCCAGGTTTTGTCCAGCACGCCCAAGTGGGCAGATACAAAGTGACAAGCCTGAGACCCACCAGGTGGAGAACACTGGGGGACAGTGTGTCTGATATGAGTGTTGGGTAATTCAAACTAGACATGTAAATACATCCATTGGTACTGAGCCAGTAAGTGTAGTCATATTGAGAATAGTGGGATCCTAGCTGCCGTTTCTCACTTTCAAAGAAGAGCCTTACAAATGTAGACATCAACACAGAATAAAGGCTGCAAATCATGCTGCAAATTAGAAGATGAGTAAGCGAAAAACAGACGACACAATGAAAACCTTTTAGAAACAAATGTGAAATAAGAAAGCGTGGCTCTGATTTTGGTATAAGACAGTTCTGAATCCAGACCTTGAAAAAATTAAATAGTATATAGAATGGTTCTATATCTATCTGTCTATCATCTATCTATCTATCTATCTAAAGAAATATAGTTGCCTAAAGTTGGAGGTTTTTAGGGAAAAGGTAAGTGGCTGCTGATGGGTATAGGGCTTCTTTTGGGGATGATGAACATGTTCTGAAATATCAGTTCATTGGTGAGAAAACAACCCACATGAGATCACAATGTGTCAAATTCTCAGCGCAGATACAACTGTTTGTCCCGGTGGGATGGGGCTCCAGGATTGTTAAGAGATTAATATGGAGTGTGACCTCTTATAATAGCAGCTGGAATATTCATGTTTTTTCTAATTAAGAAATTTTTGGCAGGGCGTGGTGGCTCATGCCCATAATCCCAGCACTTTGGGAGGCCGAGGTGGGTGGATCATGAAGTCAAGAGATTGAGACCATCCTGGTCAACATGGTGAAACCCCGTCTCTACTAAAAATACAAAAAAAAAATTAGCTGGGCATGGTGGCACATGCCTGTAGTCTCAGCTACTCGGGAGGCAGAGGCAGGAGAATTGCCTGAACCCAGGAGGCAGAGGTTGCGGTGAGCTGAGATCACGCCATTGCACTCCAGCCTGGGTAACAAGAGCGAAACTCCGTCTCAAAAAAAAAGAAAGAAAGAAAATAACCCATTGGAGTACAGAGGGCATAACTAATGCTGACTGCATTTCCCAGAAGAGATATCAGGTAAATGACCAAGAAGAACAAAAAGAAACAGCCTTTGTAATTCAGGGTTCTCGGAAAAAATTAAAAACATAAATTCAATGACCAGTGTTTGATTTTCTACTTCTCTGAATTCTTTTTCAACTGCAATGAATATTGGGAGATAAATAAAATAATAATGAGATATGATGACAGACATCAGGAGAGCTGATTCACTTTGACTCATCCTTTAGTTCTTGGATTAGCTGACATCTCTTTCTGATTGTGTAGCTCGACTCTGAGAATAGAGTTGTGTGTTCCCCCTCATTGATTCCCTGCCCCCGTGTTTTCTTGTCATGCATATCACTTGTCTATTAGCTTGCTTGGCTGCTTCCCACCCCCCAGCAGTACATAAAGTCTCTTAGCCAAGGAATTTTTCTCTCTCCTTAATCCATATGCACTCTAGAAAACTTTTTTCAGATGTGAGGAAGGAAATCTAGTCAGTACTGATATTGCAAAAACACCAGTTGGTGAATTATAGCAGAGCCCCAAACTTTTTCTTCCAGCTTCTCTCTTCCATGAGAAAAGTCATTATACCAAATTCTGCTTTACCAAGTGTATGGTAGCCTCAATGACCTTTACCCTCTAGTGTTACTCAAATAAACATGTTGTGTTACATAACAGAAGGAAATTGCAGATGTAACTCATGTTACTAATCACATGACTTGAAAATACAGATTATCTTGGCTTACCTGACTGGCCCTTTTAAGGGATAATCCCATAAGCCCTTAAAAGCAGAGATGTTTCTCGGGCTGAAGATGAAATCAAAGATTCAGATCACACGTAGGATTTGACATGTTGTTGTTGGCTTGAAGGTGAAGGGGCCACTGTTACAGAAAAGGTAACCTTGGTCCTACAATCACAAGAAACTGAATTTTGCCAGAAACGAATTGACTTCAAAGTAGAATCTGCTGCGAAGTCTCCAACTGACACCTTGTTTTCAGCAGAGGACCCAGCCGAGCCACACCACACCTGAACTTCTGACCCACAGAATGGTGAGATAATTAATGGGTGTTTAACCTGCTAAGTGTGTGGTAATTGGTTATGATACCAACAGAGACCAGATCCACTGAGCACCCCATTTTGTATAAGAAACCTCTAATAATTTGGGGTGAGGACGACAGCACACCACTCTAGAAGCTTCAGAAGTGAATTCATCCTACACCCTCTCAAGTCTGGGAGCATCCCTCTCTCCATCTTGTTCTTTTTATCTGTTGTGCTGTCAGTGACTAGTTTTATCTCTCAGAGAACAAATAAATATAATACAGAGGAAAACATCAAGCTTACACTATTCAATTTCCCAGTAGGTAGCTCCAATAAAAGGTTGGCAGAAAGACAAACTTGGAACTGAGTAGAATGATATTTCTGGATTATTTTACAATTTTAATTTATCTCTTCCTTCTCTTTACTGTAAACAACAAACATATGCTAGACTGTGACATAATAATCCCCAATTCTAGGAATCTTGAGAGCTCATTCATTTCCATATGAAATTATTTTCTTGGTGGATTGTCCTTAAATGAAGCTTGGCTCCCCTATTTTCTATAGAAAAACAGGGGAGAGGCCCTGGACTCGAGATGGTGCTGTGAGAACAACCCAGGATTGGAGCTCTCGTTGAATCCGCAAAGAGGTGAGTCGGAGCGGCATTTCCAGACTGATCTTTGTTGCCCACAGAATGGGGAAACTCCCAAGTATAAAAAAGACATGGGACGCCAGGCAGTACGTCTGCCTGGCGAAGCCGGCAACCAGGGCGGCAGCGGCCGGCCCTACCCAGCAATCCCCACAGGGCGCACTTGTCCGGGTGCCCTGTTGAACCGGCAACCTGAGACTTGAGAGGGCTGGACTTGAGACTGAACGAGACTTGGACAGTAGGCCAGCCCAGGGGATTGCAGG